TGTGAAGTCATCTCTTATACTTATCCACATCCTCAAACATAGTCATCATTATTATTCATTGTTTGATGTTTAACCTTTTAGCCTTTTTTTTTTTTCTTTTTGATTTTCTGTATTTGGTACAGGATCTCACTAGGCAGCTTGGACTAATAGTGATCCTCCTGTCTTCAGCCTCTCCAGCGCTGGGGTTATAGGTGTGTGTCTCCATGTCTGGTCTTGGAGGCTGGTTCAGTGCATCTGTGAGTAGGGCCAATGTGGCATGTGGTGCGGGGGATCAAACCCTGGTCCCTGAGCTTGCGTAGGCAGGTGTGTAGTCCACTGAGCTATCTTGCCGGCCCTCAAATATAGATTTTTTAAAAGGAAGTAATATTTACAGTGTTTTGAGCTTGAATCTTTCCATCTAACTGTGCATTTTGCATGTGAGAGTGTGTCCTTCTGTCTGAGAGGAGCCCGGTACATTGGGGAACATCAGGACTTACAAGACTTAAGAAGGGTCCGATATGGATGCGTAAGGGCTTGGGATGACCATTAGCTCTCTTGGATGTCTTCATGGCATCGGCATTGAAATTTTGGTTGCTTCTAATTTTTATTACCAAGTAGTTTGATTTTTTTTAAATTAACATAATAGTGTTGTAAATATCCTGGTATTCTTATTTATTAACTTGTGTAATTATTTTTCCAGAATAAGTTTCTACAAATGAAATTTTGGATAGAATAGTATGTGTATTTATGACTTTGGTTTTAAAATATCTTCTCAGAAAAGATTGAGTCACTTTACAGAACCAAAAGCAGTATGTAAAAGTTTCTTCACCAATGCTAACATATAAATGTCTCAGTCTTTGTGAGTTAAGGTAATGTACTCATCTCTTGAAACTTACAAAGTGTTGTGACTATTCCCAAAGTCTCCAGCGTGTAGTATTATCATATTCCACAAGATGGTGCTAATTTTTTGAAAATCTACCAATAAGGACTGGCAGATGGTGTTACAAAGTACAGTCCCACCTTGCTCCTTAAGAGAGATTTTTTGGGGGCGTACTTACTCACTGAAAATTATTCCTTCATTTGTAGAGAACTGTATTTTCCAAAATAGAATTAGATTGTAAGACTGAATATGATATGATTATATCACAGACATAAACATCTAATTGATACAGTGAGATAAACATGTATCATAATAGAAGTGTAAATGACTGTAAGAACATTGGATTCCTTTTTTTTTATTTTAAAGAGGGGTCTACAGGGTGTTTAAGGTCTCACTACTGGATTGGACTTGTAGTGACCCACCTGTTTACAGCCTCCCAAGAGCTGAGATTACAGGTGCATGTCACCATTCCCAGTCTCAGTTGCTGTCTCAGCCGCCCTGGGGGCGGGGCCAGCATGGCAGGACCAGGGATTGAACCCGTGGCTTCTGCGCCTGCTTGTAGGCACTTTAATCTGCTGAGCTATTTGACTGGTCCTTGGATTCCTTTTTTAAGTTTTATTTTTATTAATGCACATTTGCATTATGTAGTGATTACTTGCATCATAGAGTAGGTCCATGGACATAACACATCTCTCACCCTTCATCTCTCGCTGCCTTCCCATTTTTCATCTCCCTGTTTCCTGGTATCTGATTTTTATTTTACTCTTTATTATATTGGGTTTCTCAGATAAGAGAAAGTATACCATATTTAAGGTGTTTGATTTATTTCACTTAACATAATGGATCAACATGCATCCATTTTTCTACAAATGACTCAGATTTATCTTTGATGACAGTAACATTTTCTGTATCCATTTATCTGCTGATGGACATATAAGCTACTTCCAATATTTAGCTGATATGAATTGTGCTGCTTATAACATGGGTATAGAATGTGTCACCGTAATATGTCGTCTGTAATGCTTTCCAGAATATAATGTACCAGGGCTGGCAAGATAGCTCAGTGGACTAAGTGCCTGCTTAAGCAAGTGCAGGGGATGAGGTTTGATCCCTGGTCTAGCATTCTGTGCTGGCCCCACCCCCAGGTGCACTGAGTGGGTGACCAAGTCCAGGCATGGTGGTATGTGCCTGTAATCCCAGTGCTGGGGAGGCTGACAACAGGAGGATCCCTATGAATGAAAAAAAATGAGAAAAAAAAGAATATACTGTACCTAGAAGGACAGTAGTTGGTCAAATGGAATTTCTAGTTTTAGTTTTGTGAGGAATCGCCTTACTAATTTCCATAGCTACTGTGCTTGTTTGTATTCATACCAACAATGTAGGAAGGTTCCTTTTGTACCACATACTCTCTGGCTTTTGTCATTTGATTTCTCCATGATAGCCATTCTTTTCTTCTTCTTCTCCTTCTCCTTCTCCTTCTCCTTCTCCTTCTCCTTCTCCTCCTCCTCCTCCTCCTCCTTCTTTTCTTTTCTTTTTTTTTTTTTTTTGGTATGGGGATCAAACTCAAGACCTTGTGCTTGCCTTGCAGGCGCTTAGGCCTTTGAGCTGTATCCCTGTCCACATGATAGCCATTCCTTCTGGAGTAAGATGGAATCTCAGTGTTGTTTGACTTTCATTATAGTAGCCAGAGTTGTTGAATATTTTTTCATGTGTTTGTTGGTCATTTCTAGTTCTTCTAGGAATATGTATTCATTTCAGTTGCCCATTTATTGAATGAGTTTCTCATTTTTTAGAATCTATTTCTTTTTTGTTCTTAGTATATTTTAGATATTATTCTTCTGTCAAGGGCCAGCTGCCAAAAATTTTGTTCCATTCTTTAGGTTGATTCTTCACTATGTTGGTCATTTCCTTTGCTGTGCAGAAGCTTTTGAATTTGGTGTAGTTCCATTTATTTGTCATTGATGTTATTTCTTGTGCAAATTGGAATTCTGTTCAGAATGTCCCCTAATTATGCCTATGTCTTCAAAAATTTCATCCATTTTATCTTGGAGCATATTACTTCTGTTTTTTTAGATGTTTGATCTGTTTTGATTTTATTTTAGTGCATGATGAAATACATAGGTGTGGATTCAGTCCTCTATATGTGGGTAGCCAGATTTCCCAGCACCATTTATTAAAGAAGCTGTCTTTCTTCTAGCATATGTTTTGCCCCTTTGTCAAAAACCAGATAACAAAAAAAAACAAAAAAAAAAAAAACAGATAACTGAATGTACCTAAAGTTGTTTCTGCATCCTCTATTCTTGTTTTTTGATCTACATGCTTTTGTGTCAGTTTCATGCTGTTTTTATCACTGTTGCTTATAATGTATCTTGACGTCTGAATTGTGATACCACCTGCTTTCTTCTTGTTACCCAAGATTGCTTTGCTATTCTGGGTCTCTTCTGGTTTCATATGGATTTTAAATCTCTTTTCTCTAGTTTTGTAAGGAATGCTATAATACTTTGATTGGGGTTATGTTTTGGAAGTGTTTCTATTTTGACAATGTTGGTTCTGCTTAGCGAGGAACGAGCAACATCTTTGCATTTTCTGATATCTTCCTTGATCTCCTTTTTCAGAGTACTTTAGTTTTCAGTGTAAAGATCCTTCTTAATTTTGTTCCTAAATAGTTTTTTCTTGATGCAATTTTTTTTCCAGTACCAGGGATCAAACTTGGGACCTTGTGCTTTCCAGGCAGGCACTTATACTGCTGAGCTATCCCCCTGGTTCTTTTCTTAATACTATTTTGAATGCTGTTGTTTTCCTAATTTCTTTCTTGGTGGGTTCATTATAGTGTGCAGGAATGCTATTGACTTTTGTTTGTTTATTCTATATTTTGTACCTTGCTGAATTTTGTACCTCTGCTAATTTTTTTGATGAAATGTTTTTGATCTTTCAATGAATCATGTCATCTGCAAATAATGACAATTTGACTTCTTCCTCTCCTGTGTGTGATCCTTTCATTTTTTCTCTTGTCTGATTGTACTGGTTAACTTTTTGAGTTAATTCAACAAAACTGGTGATAGTGGATAACATTTCTTTTTCCTGGTTTTAGAAGGAAAATGCTTTCAGTTTTTCCCCATCTAGTAAGATACAGGCAATAGGTTTGTCATATATAGTTTTTATTTGATTGAGATAAGGTCCTTTTATACATATTTTTTTCAGTGTTTTTTAAATTTTTGAATCGTGAATGAATGTTGGATTTTGTCAAAGGTTTGTTGGATTTTGTCAAGAGGATGATATGATTTTTGTCTTTTCTGTTTATGTCATAAATCACGTTTATTGACTTGAGTATGTTGAACCATCTGTGCCTTCTTGGGATGCAGCCTGCTTGGTCATGTTGATGTATGATCTTTTGATGATTTGTTGCATTGTGTTTGTTGATGATTTTTACATCTGTGTTCACTAAAGAGATAGGTGTGTAGTTCTCTTTTTTCATTGAATCCTGGGAAGGTTTTTAGAGTCAGAGAAGTGCGAGGTTCTAGGAATGACTGAGAATGGTTCTTCCATTTAGTTTTATTAGAGTTTGAGGAGTATTGGTTTTAGATTTTTTCTGAAGTTCTTGTAACATTTGGCTGTGAATCCATATGGACCTGGGATTTTCTTGGTTTGCAGGGTTTTTGGCATTGTTTCAATTTCAGTGCCTGCTGTTGGCTGATTCAGGATTTGCAAACCTCTACTCAGATTTGATAATTCGTGGCTT